AAAAAAGTGAGAGAAAAAGAACGAGGGCGATTTTTCTCTCTCTCTCTCTCTCTCTCTCTCTCTCTCTCTCTTTTTTCAGTGGGGAAAAAACACCCAGCAGAAACAGCGAGCAGCTTTGGCTCTGTCGTCATCAATCCTGAGGAGATTTCTGGCTATCGGTAACAGCTGTGATTCAGCGGCTCTTCCCACACAGAGCCGCCACGCAAAGTGCCCGTATTTGTCTAGCGCTCAGAAGCGCGTATTACTCATCCGCCCGGCCGTTAGAGAGCAGGCCGCGGAAGCAGAGGGGCGAGGTTACGGCTCCTGCCACAGCCAGCGCGGCTAATGCATTAGCGAGAGGCCGGCGCTGGCTAATGGGCCCACACAGCCGGTTCAGGAGTTTAAAGCTGGGGGCCGTGCCGCACAAAGCTGCCCAACATGACCATAAAAAGCCCATAATGAGTCTGAAGAGCTGTTAGAGGAGATAGACGAAGAGAGAGAGAGAGAGAGAGAGAGAGAGAGAGAGAGAGAGAAAGTGCTGTGATTCAGACTTAATCCCACAGCATCGCAAAGACGCTAACAGCATCAGGATTAGTGGATAATGCGGCCCAAAACACAGCAACCCCACGAGGCCGGGGCGGTAATCAAACGGTGGGAGTTTAAGAGCTTCTAAACAGGCCTGAAAACACGGAGGATCATCCATCAGGAACGGAAACCAGACTCGCAGAGAACCTGCAGCAATTATACATGGAGCTGTCAGTTCTGGATGTACGTGCACGACTATCGCTAAACACACGACAAAAAGAACATCAGCCATGCTACAGTAGCTGGAGAGCAGACCTCCCTCAGAAACTCCAGCAATGCTACAGTAGCTGGACAGCAGACCTCCTCAGAAACTCCAGCAATGCTACAGTAGCTGGAGAGCAGACCTCCCTCAGAAACTCCAGCAATGCTACAGTAGCTGGAGAGCAGACCTCCCTCAGAAACTCCAGCAATGCTACAGTAGCTGGAGAGCAGACCTCCCTCAGAAACTCCAGCAATGCTACGGTAGCTGGAGAGCAGACCTCCCTCAGAAACTCCAGCAATGCTATGGTAGCTGGAGAGCAGACCTCCCTCAGAAACTCCAGCAATGCTACGGTAGCTGGAGAGCAGACCTCCCTCAGAAACTCCAGCAATGCTACAGTAGCTGGAGAGCAGACCTCCCTCAGAAACTCCAGCCATGCTACGGTAGCTGGAGAGCAGACCTCCCTCAGAAACTCCAGCCACGCTACAGTAGCTGGAGAGCAGACCTCCCTCAGAAACTCCAGCCACGCTACAGTAGCTGGAGAGCAGACCTCCCTCAGAAACTCCAGCCACGCTACAGTAGCTGGACAGCAGACCTCCCTCAGAAACTCTTAGGTCACTATCCTGCTAAAAAAAAAAAAGTGCAGACCAGCCAGCATTTCATTTTTGTCTAAACTAGTCTATGCTGGTCCTGGTTCATCTGGTCACCCCAGTATGGTCATGATGGTTGACCAGCACACCAGTATCAAAACACAGCATATGCTGGTTTTGCTGGTAACCAGCCATGCTGCTCTATGCTGGCTATTTTAGCAGGGTAACTAGTCTAGACTGTAATGTGCCACACATATCAGACAATTCCTTAGAGCACCTTCAGCCATGCTACAGCAGCTAGCGGTGTAGGCTAAGACATTAACGTAGTTAACTAACATTGATCTCTAAATGCCTCAATTTTGCGACAGAAAAGAACAGCTTAAGCCATGTAGCTGGACTTGTAGGCCATGACCTTCACTCAGTTAGCGTTAGCATATCCCTTAGAGCATTTTCAGCCAGTGGTCCCAAAAGTAGACAAAATACGGCCATGTAGAAAACTAAATGCTGCTGTGTTCAGCTATGCTAATGTGCTTTAGCCCATGTTTATAGATACAGTGAATCATACAGAGTCAGAAACCACATCATCAAGACCGTTAGAGACACTGAACACCTCCACAAGTGATTTAGGCAGTTTAGCACCATGCTAACTGCCAAATGGTTTAGGCTTCTCTTACCAGCTAGCTACATTAGCCTTTTAGCAACAGGTTAAAATTAAATGAGCAAAAGTTCAGACACCAAACGTCCCTGCAAAAGATCATAGAACCCATTAAAAGGTTCTAACCCTGAGGCTTTAGTTTTCATTGCTAAGCTATCGAGTCCCAGAAACAGATGCCATGCGGTGCTGCAGGACCAGCTGACCTGCTAAACGGACTCTACCTAAAGGACACTGAAACATATACAGAGTGCAGCACGGCGTCCGTCCAGAGGAGAATCATCACAGACCAAGACCCTCCACCTGAGAGAGCAGCAGCGTCCGGATCAATAGATCTCCAACCCTGCCGGAGGGCTTTCTGTGGATTAGGGGTCAAACCTGCACCGTCAATCAGGGTGATGAAGTCGAGTGTGTGTGTGTGTGTGTGTGTGTGTGTGTCTGTGTGAGAGAGTGTGTGTGTGTGTGTGTGTGTGTGTGTGTGTGAGTGTGTGTGTGTGTGTGTGTGTGTGTGTGTGTGTGTGTGAGAGAGAGAGTGAGTGTGTGTGTGTGTGTGAGAGAGTGATGGAGATAAAGTTGTGGACTGGAGGATGAAGTACAGCAGAACTCTGTAGAGGATCCTGCTGTGTCCAACCATCCAAACCAAACCCAGTCCGACTCCACAAAGTCCAGACAGAAATGACCACCAACATCAGCACCATCTTCACCGAAGATCACTCAGCGGGTCCTTCACGCTCCTCCAACCCTAACATCGCATTATGTTACGCTAAATTACTGTCACTTCACAGTTTATACACACTTTACAGGGCTAAACTGCTGTAGGCCGAATGGGCGGAAACTCAGTGTTACAGTAAATCTGCTCTGATTAAAACGAGAGAAATTAGCACACTAACTTAGCACAATGATACTAAACAACAGTTCGTTATCATCATCGTTATTATTATTATTATTATTATTATTATTATCATTATCATCATCATTATTATTATTATTATTATTATTATTATTATTATTATCATTATTATTATTATTATTCTTATGATGAGTTCTGTTTCTTTGCTGTTCTCATGGAGAAGCACAGATGTTTTTCGCAGCACAAACCTCCTTATTAAAAATATCATAATTAGATTTCCTCGAGTTCCTCAGTGTTTATTAGCGCCGTTCCCGCTACTCTGTCTCTTCTCATTAGTGGAATTTCGCCGTCTAACCTGCGTCTGCGGCTCAAACGGCCTCGTCTGTCTCCAGCAGCTCCACGCCGCACGAAACTCTGCTAAAACACGTCCTCCACAATTCTGCTGTCCTTTAATGAGCCTTTAGCTGCCGTTTCAGGCTGCTAGCCTCTTAGCCTGGCTGCTGGCGGAGGCTGCTGCTCTGAGTGGAGCTCCGTCTGGGTGATGTTCAGGCTGTAAAGATGCTCTACGGCGTCTGTCAAACAGCTTTACGCCACCATCAGACTTCACGGCTTGTGTTTTCTGAGGAGCCGATGTTGTGGCAGGAAGCAGAGCGGCCTTATCGGCCCGGCTTTATCGCTGCAGTAAAGCCGCTAACACAAAAACACACCGCTCGGCTCTCGCGCCGCGCTGCAGGACCTGGACAGGCAGGTGTGTTTGATTTAGGGTCACTCTGCCGCTGTCCTTCAGCGATTTTATTCTTCATTCTGTTTATTTTAAATCCCAACATATAAACGGTGCTGTTTACTGCAGTGTATTCAGCTGTAATGCTGCCACCTGATGTGCATTACAGGGTATTAGAAACACATTAGTTGTCTTTGGATGGAATATTTGAATTATTTGATTGATCGCTGTGATTGGTGGCTCTTAAACTGATCATATGTCATTAAAAAAGGGTCACATTTGCTCCGTTTCTCCCAGGAAAAGGAATGTAGCTAAACTAATTTGAGGCTACTGGTGACACTGTACACACATATACACAAAATTTAATAAATCGTAATAAAAACAATAAAAAAATAATTAAACATAAAATGTGCCATAACTTTTGCACAGGCCATAGTAATGTATTTCATTTTTTTTTTTTTTTCCCCAGAATGTTAAATTCAGTAAATAATCAGAAACTGCATTAAAGGTTATTAAACTTATTTTGACTCAGAAAATCAACAATAGCATGGACATTTGACCGGGGGTGCACATACTTCTGCACATGACTGTTTGTATGTTTATTTATTTATTTATTTATTATCACAGCTATTTGAGGCTGCTAGCCGCTTAGCTTTGTCGCTAAAGGAAGCTGCTGCTGACAGATTCCTCGTATGTGGGCTGCAGAGTGACTCCACCTGGTTTAACTGACCTGCTTTCTGAAGGCCTCAAACAGGTTTATTAGAACAGGAGAACCCAAACAAGCCCGCAGAACCAACACACTGACCACTAGAACAGGCTTAAACCTGCTGACCCAAACAAACATTCAGCTCATGCAAACCAGCATTACAGCTGTTTCTGATCTCCACAAACCAGCAGAGGAACCCACACCATAAGGAAGTGTTCTCCAGCTGTCCTCCTGGAGATCTACAGGAACTGAATTCAGTTCCAACCTGCCACGCTTTACCCAGCGCTAACGCGTCTGATCAGACACTCAGGAACCTCTGGAGAAGTTATCCATTATCTAGAGCAGGTGTGGTTGGAGCTGGATTTGACATGAAAGTAGATCTCCAGATCTCCAGAACCAGAGCTGGTGACCACTGCACTCCACACCACAGGCCAGAAGCTCAGGAGCAGCACTAACCGCGTTCTAACAGACACTGAAATCGTACCACTTGACTTTTATTATGAAATCTTTCTGAAGCTTTTCTTCTACACGTTTGTCCCACAGTGGAACCTGAAACTCTCCAACCAGCCCAGAAACCTGCTGTGCTGACAGGAACATTCAGACCTGCGCTGCGTCTCCACTCGGCCACTGAAAGTCAACAGATAATTCCAGAATCGACCTCAGGTCAGCGTTCCACCTTCAGCCCACAGCGCTGCGAGAGAAGGAACCGGGTTCTTACCGTCGAACTTCTTGTGTCTGGAGACGAAGGTGGATCTCAGAGTGCTGCTGGTTTCCTCCACCATTCCCTCCAACTCCACTTTACTGCGCTGCCCCAGCTTATCCTCCATCTCCGCGCTGCAGCAGGTTTGGCCCTGAGCGCAGACGCGCAGGTGATCACCTGGAACGAGGGGGCGGAGTCAGAGTCAGATAGACACACCCACACATACACTCACACTGCCAGGCTAACAACATTCGCAAATCCCTCCGTGTAACTTCAGCCAAGCTACAGTAGATAGCAATGTAGGATAGCGTGCTAGCTTATCTAGCAATGCTAGCAAAACTCCTACAGCAGCCAGCAGTGTGGGCTACATGGTAACTTAGCTAGCTAACATTGTAAGCAAATCTCTTATAAAAATTAAGCTATGCTAAGCTAAGCTAGTGCTGTAGTGCATTCCACAGTATGATTTCAGCAATGCTACAGCAGTTAGCAGTGTCAGTTACAGCACCAAGTTAGCTAACAATGTTAGCAAATTCATTAGATCTCCTTCAGCTGGTGGTGTTGGCTACAGTGTGAGCTAGCTAGCTAGCAGTGCTAGTAAATCTCTTAAAGAGTAAATTCAGCCATGGAACAGTAACTATGTTAGCTGTATCAGCTAACTAACTCGCTAGCTAGCAACATTAGCAAACTTCTTGAGCATCTTGAGCCATGCTAGCAATAGTGTAGGCTAGGATATTAGCTGAGATAGTTACGAATGTTGGAAAGTCTCCTCAGCCGAGCTACAACAGTTGTGTAGGCTACAGTGTTGATTTAACCAGCTAGCGATGTTAGCAAACCCATCAGAGCAACTTTCAGCCAAGCTACAGTAGTTAGCGATGTAGGCTACAGTGTTGATCTCTTCAGAGTAAATTCAGCCACAGAACAGGAACTGACTCTGTTAGCTGATGAGTGAGCACCTTGGAGCAACTTCAGCCGTGCTACAGCAGCTAGAGGTGTAGGCTACAGTGTTAGCTTAGCTAGCTAGTAATGCTAAAACAGCTGAGGCCAGTGATCCGCTCTATCAGTCAATGGTTTACTGCCGCTCTGTGAGCAGCAGCACCCATTAGGGAATGCGTTGTGGGCGGAGTCTGTTGAGGGCGATTGCTGTAATTAGCGTAACTGTTTCTGCTTGATGTGATGTAGGAATATGAATTAGTTGTAGCTCTGCTGCAGGACGGTGTCTGACTTCATCACAGTGACTGATCAGTATGAAACACTGATAACCGCCTCATTAAGGATGAGAGTCTCTGCGTATGGAGGTGTTCGTATCTGAGCCGTATCGCTCCAGCAGAGCTGAGAGAGGAGGGTTCCTCTCAGAGACGATCCAGCTGGAGCTCACCGAGCCCAGAGTGACACCTCTAATCACACAGAGAACACCCACAATGCACCAGCTCCGAATAATCATTTCACACATGCTAATGCAGCGCGGACGTCCAATCGCACACAACCTGCGACTGGATGTTGCCAAAAACAGCAAGGAAATCAGATACAGACCAAAATACATAAATAAAGGAATAAAATACAACAAACGAATGAACAGATAAACAAATAAATAACTAAATAAATAATTAAACATGGAGGAGCTTCTCAGAGGAACTCAGTGCACCACTGATACGTTATTACAGTACTACGTTATACTGATTCTGTATGTTAGTCTTTTCCTCTGAAGCTCAGGTGATGATGTGATGTACGTCACTGAGTCTGCAGGACTACAGTGGTGTGAAGGAGCCGCTGATGGAGGCTCGGTGAGATCTCACGCCGCTCGCCAGCCAAATAAACAACACTTTCTGTGAAGGAAATTCACACAGCAGTGCTGAAAGACCACTTAACTGTCTTCACCACGAAGACCATTAGAGTGAAACACTGCAGAGCTGCGACCGCAGACAACGTCACTGTTTCCACATCGTCTCCAAAACGGCCAGAAGGACAAACCTTCTCAACTCCGAATGGGACACTTTTCTCAAAGTCATTCTGGAGCATTTAGGTTCATCCACGGTGTAAAAGCCACTTTCAGGTTCTACATTAAAAGTGAGGTTTGGTTCCGACAGTGACGACGTGATGGAGGAGGAGGACTCCTCAGACCTCAGGACCTTCTGGGACTAAGTGAGAGTGAAGGTCTAGCTCTGGTTCATCACTGGAGGCCCTGATTCTGGAGATCTGATCTGGAGTTCTGTCCACAATCAGCCCGTCTACTCCTGATAACCAGCTTCTTCAGACGCCCCTGACTGGCTGATCAGATCTCTGTTGTAAGAAAACCTCGTATCTCCATGTTCTGAGATGATCTGAGAACATCAGCTGCTCTTTAGACTGTGTTAGTATTTCATGATGAATGGAGCAACAGAATCGACCCACAATCACTCACAATACAGTCTTATCACTGACTCACACTGAAAGTAGCTGAGGTGTTGTTAGGCAATTGCTCTGTAATCGCAGCTGGTTGCTAAGGCACTGCAAGGCTGTTGCTTTGGTGTCCCAGGTCGTTGCTAAGGTATTGCTGGGCTGTTGCTATGGTGTCTCAGGTGGTTGCTAAGATTTTGCTAGGCTGTTGCTATGTTATCCCAGGTGGTTGCTAGGGTATTGCAGGGCCATTGCTATGATATTCCAGGTGGTTGCTAGGGTACTGCTAGGCTGTGGTTATGGTATCCAAGGGGGTTGCTGAGATGTTGTTAGCGATTGCTACGATATCCCAAGTGGTTGCTAGGGTGTTGCAGTGGTTGCTACTTTCTCAACATTCTGCCTTTCATTTGGAGATGAAAACATGACGAATAAACCTTTTATTATCAGAACACTAAAACCAAAGCGATTATAGTTTGCAGGAGACGTCATTATGACCAGCATGTTATCACTGAGCGCTGGATAGAAACAAACAACCTCTTTTACACAATTTTATCACTTGTAATTTGCTCAGAATGTGGATGGAAATGTAGCTGCTGTAAGTGATTTTGACCCGTCCACATTTTGTGTCCACGCTGGCCCTTTATTACAGCCTCCCTCGGATGTGTCTGCAGGTTCTGGAGGACGTTGTGCTGTTTCTGAGTGAATTCGGTGGGGAGCCTGCAGGCTGGAGGAAGCTGAATGTGTAAAGGGTCTCTGAAGCCAGGAGATGCTGGCGCGCTCACACAGACAGAATCTGGGACAGCAGCCTGGACGGCTACAGGATAATAACCACATATTTAATATTAGCTCAGCCTGAGTGAGGAACCACTGCTGTTAGAGAACGACGGAGAACTGGGAGCAGAGACGGGGCGAAGGAGTCCGACCCGGGCGACAGACACTGCGGCAGAGGAACACGGCCTTTAATGAAGACATCAGGGGCTGTTAAAGGGCCGGAGGCAGAGAAAACCACACTTTACTTAATTAGAGACTTTGATGTCGTATGTAAACATTTCTAAATGTGCCGCTTACGCCCAGCACATGAATAACAGCCTGTTTTCATCTCACGTTTTGTGATGGCACAAAAACAACACATGTACATATATCTGCCCAGCCTACAGCAGTTTAGCCCCGCCCATTCAGCCTACAGCAGTTTGTGGCTCTACACTGCCGATCAGACTACATTTCCCATCTTCCCTTTCAGTCAGTGATCACTGATTAGAGCTGGAGGACAGGCGAGTGGAGACAGATCAGCAATGTGTGTAAATATTCACCCTGACGAGTGTTTAATCAGAGAGAGGCGGAGCATGAAAAACATCGCTGGCGCCTCATGCTCGTCTCCTCATTCCGCTTCCTCCTCTCTCTCCTCACCGCGGCGTTCCGGGTCGTTCTCTTTCCCAATCCGATCACGCCGGCCGTGTGACTGAAGCTCAGATTTCTAATTAGCCTGAAGTGCTGAGCGAGGGAAGCTGCGCTAGCGACGCAAAGCCTGTTACAGATTATTTAACAAGGCCACAAAAGCTGAATTCAGCCTCTCTCGTTCGAATTTTCCATTCCACCTTAAATGTTGAGGTGCCAGAATGTAACTACTTCACCATTTAAGGTGGAGCGGAAAATTCGAACAAGAAGCTGACAACAAAGGGAGGCCAACTTCGCTAACATGTTCGAGGCGAGTGTGTGATGATTCAGGCATGCAGTTAGCGCCATGCTAACTGGTGAGGTATGAGCTTCCATCACCTGTTAGCCAAATTAGCCTCGTAGCTTCAGTGCTAAGACTACAGAAGCTAAACATCAGACACCAAACTTGGCTGATTGACTACATGTGGAGTTTTCACTGAAGCAGAGCTTTAAAAACGAGGATTCTGGGAAATTGTAGTGGAGATGATACCCATATGGAGAAGCATTGTGTTTTTATATATTTATTTCAAACACATTGCAGTTGATGCTGAAATACATTCCAAACACTAATATGTATTTCAGAATATGCTGCCATATAAACCAGATACATTTTAAAACATATGGGGAAATATTACACACAGAAATGTATCATTTTTCCACGCGTTCATAAATATTTTGTCGGCTAATTCTCGAAGGTGCACCTGTTTATTTGTTTGTTTGTGCGTCTGTTTGTCACTGAGGATCACCCGTGTGTACAGCGGTGGCTCCTGCTCGGCCGTTCAGCCACAGACCGGTGTGTTTTGGTGTTTATCAGCAGCCGCTCCGCTCTGTCCTGCTGAGGTTACTCACCGTTGCATCATTACAGGAAGAGCATGTTCACTAACGCAGAATTTAAAGAGCATCAAACAGCCTCGTCCTGCTCTGCAGGGACTCTCTGATATCTGCATCTCTTTGATGGATGCACGTAGAAAATTTCCCCTCGAATCCTGCACTTCTGAACACACATCCGGTATGTACCACTTTATTTATTTGTTTGTTTATTTATTTATTTATTCAGGAGCTGCAAAGATAGACAGGAACGTTTTTCATCTTGAACTTCTGCAACCTCAAACAAGACACAACCGCTTCGCCACCGAGTCAGTGAACTAGCTGTTTCTGGAATTTGTGGTGCTGCCTCGCCGAGACAGAGCTAGCATACATGCTAATGTTTTTAGCATCAGCCACCTACAGTGTTACCTTAGCAAACTCATTACAAGGTGCTGATTCTAAAAAACAGCAACTCTGATAGGGAGTTAGCCAAAATGTGACGGTGCTAGAATACATGCTAATAATGTTAGCATTAGCTATGTAGCGATTGTGTGTAATAAGCA